CAATCTTTTATTTATTTTATTTGTTCATATTTTTATTTATTTTTATTTTTTTAATTATTTAACCGTTCTAAGTTGTTTTTTATTTTTATTTTTTGACATTTGACCATTGGTAGAGAGAGGGCCAGGTGGGGTGGACCGGGCCGGGCTTCAAATGGAATGCCCAGGCCCAGACCCAAGGTGCTGGACTGGACTTGGGCCCGGGCCTAATCGGACCAAAACAGGTCGAGCGCACCTCGAGCCTCACGCGGGTTTCGGACCGCCCACGGGTCATTTTTACACCCCTATCGATAGGATTCGTTTAATTGAAATTATACTTTTTTTTTTTTTTTGGGATTATTGATTTAAAAATAAAAAATGCTAAAGATCTAAAAAAAATTTCAAAATTTCTATTAAATTTCTTACATGGATATGGAAATAACATGGTGTGGATCCCACGTCTATGTAAGACATTTGATATAAATTTTAGTAGAATTTTTAGATGTCTAACATTACTCTTTAAAATTTTTTTACAATAATATCACTCAAAGGTGATTTGAGAAGTAGTTAAAAGCTAATTTTTTAAATTTTTTTAAATTTTTTATTTCAAAAAGAGATATAATTTAAAATAAATTAAAAATTAAATTTTCACTATTTTTTGGCTGGTTCCGAAATGACCCCTCAATATTCCCGATGCCAATTCATTTGCCGAAACTTTAGCCATAAATCATTCTGCTTTAATGTTCCTTTATATTTTCCGTTATACCCTCCTTTTCGTGCTCGCCAAACAGAGAATGTGGAAATTTCCTGAGGAAGGTTGGGAAAAGTGTACCCTGATGTAGAATTGAATTGACTTGTGTGGAACAAACACCAGTGGCCTTGTCAGAGGCAAATTTCAACAAGCAACCTATCATTGTCAATGTCTCAAATATTCAACAATGTACGCGCAATGTTTGAAACAGAGAGCACTCATCAAAACATCACAAAACCAAGTTCTATATTTTTTTTTTTTATAATTCGCGTGTTCGGATCAATTTATGTGTACTTTGATTATTTTTTAAGAGGTTAATCTCATCGTGTACTAGTGGGAGACTTATTTAAAATCAAAACAAAATTCTGCATAAATTAATTCAAAACAAGAATTAATAGCACTTAAAAAATTTTAAACTTAAAACTTAAAAGGGAACAAATTCTTAAGTTCCAAGCCTTCACCACTAAACCGACCGTTCGAGGTTCAAAACCAAGTTCTATATACAATAGCTTAATCTGATTGATCAAAAATAATTCAAGCCACATACTGAGAGTTGAAGCAAGATCGAAACATACTCTCCCAAGTCCCTCATGCCTGTGCACTCATCCCCCATAGATAAAGTTGCCGCCAACGATGACATCTTAACCCAAATTCTCATAAAGTTACCAGTAAAATCACTCATGCGATTCAAGTCCGTATCCAAACACTGGCTCTCTCTCATCGTCAATCCCCATTTCGCACGTTGCCGGAATCCCAACTCCAGCTTTGTCTCCGGCCTATTCTTGTACTCGTCCAAGAGACGTCGTAACCCAGAACTCAATTTCATCCCTCTTCAAAACAATGAAAATCCAAGCGACGACGGTGATGATGTTTACTTAGCACCTCTCACGACGATTCCAAGTCTATCAGGTAAAGAAATTTTTAGCTCATGCCATGGATTGTTATGTTGTTCCAACCTTGAAGGCGACTATCAATTGCGCTATCATATCCTCAATCCCACCACCAAGCAATTCATGTCTCTTCCTCAACCCCGTGATGGCCATAAGGGTTTCAATTTAGTGTTTGACCCGTCAAGATCACCTCACTACAGAGTTGTCGGCGTTTGGCGTGTTGATTGTGATGATTTAGTTTTGTCGGTTGACTCTGATCAGAACAAGCTTTATTATCAAATTGAGATTTACTCATCTGAGACCGGTTCTTGGAGGGCTTGTGCCGAACCTTTCACCGCTAATCGAAATTCCCAATTTCATAGCGGGGTCTATTGGAACGGTGCGATTAACTGGTTCAACACATTTGGGGACTCATTGTATTTCAACATGGAGGATGAGCGTGTTAGAACTATTCCAATGCCTCCGATTCCTCATGGGGATTGGAAGGTGAGGCCATTTAGGTATTACGGGGAGTCGAACGATCATTTGCATTTTGTTGAGATATACAATCCAAGGATTCAATTCGATGTTCATGAGATAGAAAGAGATTACTCTGGCTGTTTTGTGAAGTACCATGTCGATCTTGGTTCAGTTGGAGCTGCGTTTCCCCAGATGATGCAGAGGCTCTCGTGGAACCCAATGTATTACTCGTTCGCTATACTTTCGCTTGTACGAGAGAAAAAAGATGATGACTCGTTTATGGTGCTGCACATACCGGGTAAGATTTTACGGTACAATCTTGGTGATAAGAGTTTCGAGAAAATATGTGATGTTGGTGCAGAGCATTGCGATGGTAGTGGCATGATTGAGGATTCTTTTATGTATTTCTGGTTTCATTCCTTCCAATACATTGAGTCTGTCTCTTGTATATGAATGTGGTTTTTTGCTTTAAATCAGAGAATTAATTCAGTTCTTGAATTGCTTTAAATCAGTGAATTAATTCAGTTCTTGAATTCTCCTTTTGTAGTTTCAGGTATTGAAAATTGATTGTGTTTGTTGCTGTAATATGATAATATATATATACATAAATGATACAACCTTTGGTATTTAATGTGGTGATTATGTCAGTTATTTGAAGCCACTTATATTTTTGAAGGGAATTTAAACAATTTTGATCTACACAGTTGCATGTTTCAAGAATATTTTGTAAAAAATTCAAAAAATTATAACCATAGAGACTGTTAATTTGAAAAACAAGGTTGGTGTCCAAATCTTAAGAATACCTTCTATATTTTTATTTTTACATAGATATATTATAGTTCAGTTCAGAACCATAACAAAAAAAAAATCTTAGAACCGGAAATCAGACTAATTTGAATGGTTCTACCATTTTCGAAAGCAAAACCAAATTAATATAAAAATCAGACCAAACCAAACTAATATAAAAACAATACCAAACTGAAAATTTAGACTATAAATTGGATCGATTTACCGGTTCTACCCATTTTTGTGAACACCTCGATTATCTCTAAGCTCTAATTTCTATCTTTCTTCCTTTTTCTACAAATTCCAATTAGTTCCTTTGAATTCTATCCGTTCCTCTCTTTTTCATATCCAATTTCCAAATGGATTGAGAGTTACAAACACAGTTTTTGTTGGACTGTGCAACTCTAGTTTTCTTAGAATTTATAGTTATATTTTGAGTTGCAATTTATTTGCCTCACAGTGTGCTTTTTAGACTCGTACATACACCACAAGTTCGACTTTGATAATCTGATTCATTTATTTTTTAAGTTACAAATTCTATTTGGTTGATCTGATTTATTTATTTTTTAAGTCACTGAGTACAATACTCATTTATATATTTATAAATAAAAAATAAATAGTTTGCCACCTTAAAGAGTGTCTGCAAACAATGTCGATGCCTGCACTTCCATCAGGCTGGGATCGGAGGTGCTTTAACTATTTCGGGGAGTCAGGACCATTTGCATCTTATCGAGATGTATCATCCTCCAAGCACGCAGTTCAACGTCTATGAATCGGAGAGAGACCGTTCCAAGTGGTTTGTGAAGTATCGAATCGACCTTGGTTCGGTTGTTGATGAATTTCCAGAGATGATTCCGAACAGAATAATTCCAAAGCACTTGAATTTCTACATCTTTGTTATACTTTCTTTTGTACGGGGAGAAACAACAGATGGGGAGTCGTCATTCGTTGTAATTGTAAGGCGATGTGGTACAGTTTTGAGGATAAGAGTTTGAAGAAGCTGTGTGATTTTGCCGCTTCAGCTCCAGGTTGACCTGTGAGTTTTGGTGGATGGTCCATTTGTTTTCCATTTATTGAGTCTATTTTGTTGTGTTTGATATTGTTGAGACAAAACATGGATTGTAAATTACAATTTGTACTTGTTCAAATAATAATAATAATAAATATAGTTTATAATTTAATTATTTCTATTGATGGTATTCAAATTGGCCATGCGTCTTGTGGTCTGCACAATTTGATATTTTTAGAACTTTGGATAAATATTTACTCTATGGAATCACTATGCTTAGTTTCTCTTTTCAAAAAACAATCTTCAGAAAATTCTACTCACTACAGGAAATGAGACAATTAACGGCGTTTAATTAACGGCGTTTTATTAAACGTCACGTTTGCTAATTTTTAACGGCGTTTTGCAACCGTCGCATATTTTTCAAAACCAAAACGACACCGTTTCCAATTGAAGGCGTTTAAAAGCGCCTCCGAATGCTGTAGCTACACGCGCCCCTTTATGAAACCCTTATTTTTTAATCTGAGTGCAAAGTGTAATAGCAATTTCGCGCACATCTCTCTCTCTCTCAGCGACGAAGAAGACGGAGGAGATCAATCGGCTGTTCTTGAAGCTTGAATACGCATACATCTCTCTCTCTCTCAATCCTTATACGCACACATTTCTTCATCGAAGTTCCATCTGCACCTGCGATTTCGAAGATTCAGAGCGATTTCGAAGCGATTTCGAAGATTCAGATCGATTTCGAAGCGATTTCGAAGCTCCATCGCCACCGTCATCTGCACCGGCGAGGTAGCGAGCTCCACCGTCTCTCTCTCTCTCTCTCTCTAGATCTATGAAATCAATGTTTTGAAGGCATTCTTACTTGAACCTCATTTGCAGAGATTCAGAGAGAGGCATTCTGACTTGATCCTCATTTACTGAACTTTAATCAATACTCTCTCTCTCTCTCTCTCTCTTTCTCTATTTCTTTCGAATTTTATTGCATGTATAACATTTGTATACATCAATATTTGTTGAATTGTTGAATTGATCTGTTAGGTTCTTTTTTGAACAATTATATCCTAATTGATAGATTGATTGTAGTAAAACTCTTTCATACTTGATTTCAAATAAATCATCTTTATAAAGTACTGATGAAGTGAAATCAGACTCTTTCTCTGAAATTAAGAGAGAAGCTCAGGTCATAGATGCCCAAGGAATTAAAGTTTAGAAGTCAGAATTCTTACTTAAATTGCGTAAGGATTTTTGTTGCAGTTGTCTTGATCTTATGATTTGGAAGGAGCAGCAACCATTCTAAACCCAGGAAGTTACAAGGGTTTTGCGCCAACATTATCTCTAATTGAATTGCGTCTAACCTCACATCATCATCTAGTGAATTGGACAGCACATATCCAAGAAACTGAAAACTCTATTACTCTTTTGACCTCAATGACTTGGATGACTTTACTAGGAGGCAGACTCTATTAGATAAGTATGGGGCTTAGGGAGATGTGAATTCCCAGACACACACATGCACTATATACACATACCCAAGTCCATGTTTTGTAGTTAGAACTTTTCAGTTGTTCTTTCTGTTTGAAAAAAAAAAAAAAACAAAATTGATAGGGACTTATATGCAAAGGATAAATTACACAAATAATCCCCAAAGTATACTATATTTTTCATTTTGGTCTCTAACCTTTAATTTGTTTTAATTACATCCTGCACTTCACACATTGATTCATTGTGGTCCCTTCTTATAAATGCCATAAACTTCGGACCAAAAATTTTGGGATCATGCTTATATTAGCCTTATATTAAGAACATAAAAGACATTGAGGAATTTATTTCATTTTTTTGCCTAAATGAATAATAGACACATGAATTTAAAAAAGATAACAAAGTTACTTTTAAGAACTGAAATACATACATAATGAGGAACGTAGTCCTCTCATATGTCGCAACAAGAAGTTAATTTTTGTCCATTGAATTTTGTATTTGTTGAGTTAATTCCTAAAATCTTCTGACTATTGCACTTTTAATTTGTCGAGTTAATCCTGAAAATCTCCCTAAAGCCTCAATTTTTCTATACAACATGAAACCATAATCTTCTATCCATTATTTGATCAATGTTATTTGGCATATATAGTGCATTCAAAGCTTGATTTAAGCATGATATCAACATCTGCATTTATAGGAAAGGACTACATTGTAATCAATGTGTAAAGTTTAGGGATGTAATTGAAACAAATTAAAGATTGAGAACCAATAATGAAATAGATAGTATACTTTTGGAACTATTTATGACCATATACTTCTATGCCAAACAGTAGCGTCTTATACAAGTTGTCCCAAGTTTTGTTTAAAATATGTTTGTTGTTTACTTCATAGATGGTCAAAAATTGCTCGAAGGTTGCCTGGAAGAACTGATAATGAGATAAAGAACTACTGGAGAAGTCATTTGAGAAAGAATGCACAAGTCCGAGAGCAAGTTACACCGAATTTTCCCTCCATTTAATTTGTCTGTTTTTATTGCTTCTACTTATCAACTAAGCTACTTGCACAGAAATTTTTCATGGAAACATGTCTGAAATTTTTTTGTGCACGTAGACTTTTTGTTTACTAATTTCTTGCTTTATTAACAAATGCTTCATATTATAGGAAACTACGATCAGAGCATCACAAACAACGAGAAACAAGATGTGTTGGTTACAAAATTTGATAATGGAGACTGCACATCTGTTAAGGAGAACATTTTGAGAACCACTGATGATCACTCTGATGTGTTTGAATTATCAAACTATGGAATTGCAAGTTCTCCATATGAAGTCCGCATATCGGATTGGATGTCAAGTTGGTCAAATGAGCAAAGGGAAGTGAACCGTCATCATGGGGAGTGTCAGAGTTTGGACTCAGGTTTCTGTTGTTACTCAGTGTGGAACTCTAAAGATCACAGTGATAATGGTTTATGGGACTCTTCTGATTTCCTCTGGGACACAGACTAATTAAATTTGCTTCACTTTGAGTTTGAGGAGTGAATAAAAGAGAAAATTTTGACTGTAAAATTGGCTTCTCTAATCATTTCTACAGTTATATTGGTACAGAAACAATATGAACCTTTAGCACTAGTAAAATTGTCTAGTTATAATATAGGGAGTGATATTTCTGAAATGGTGGCAAAAGGTTGTGCACAGAAATGATCAATATATAATTAGGAAGTAAATCCAATCTTCATTTGTCCGAATATAATGTTTATGGTTATGTTTGTTTTGGTAGATTGATTATTATATGAGATTTTTGCTTGAAATTAATAGTTATGAGATTATCAATATCCTAAAATTATATATTTTATTTCACGTTTGAAATGTCCTTGTATTAGGAGCAAGATTTGTAGAATTCAATCCTATCTCATGTTAAGTTAAAATTGCCAGACATGACCATGGTTTAGTTTTAGGGTAATTGATCATGGGTACTTTTATTTTATTTCATTATATCTCATTTTTATTGAGGGTTAATGTGTGACATTAGGGATGAGGACATGTTTGGCATATTGAGGGTTAATGTGAATATTGGTTGGTGCAATAAGTTAGAGGGTTAATTGAGAATGTGGGTGTAATAAGTCAGACACACACAAGTCTACTGGAGAGTGAATTTGTTTCCTTTGCTAACTTCCCATCTTGCTTTACAGATGTTCAAAAGATCCATTTCAGAGACGGCATTAGAGCGAATGTCTGGTTTGTTTGGATCGTTTTCAATTCTTCAACCAAAGGAGGGAAAAAAAAGGTATAATAGAATAATACTTGCCCTTATTTTTGGTGATGATGAGCATTTTGTAGCATGCGTCCCACATTCTAATGACCACTTTATACATGACAAGGATGTGAGCATGCAGTATTCATGTTCTTTCCATGCCATTCAGCAAAAAATGATCGGCATTTGTCCTTTACTACACTTCTCCTTTACTACACTTTTACTAATATTTATATATCAAAGGAAAAAAGGACCTGAGAAATAAGTTACATTATTCTTTGAATTAGTTTATCTTTTTCTGTTATATTGTCTGGAGGGGGTCAGTGAGTTGGTTAAGTAGGTAGAATTTTTAAGAGAGAGAATCAAGTAGAAGCAAGAAGTGACAGTCTGTAAAGAACCTCAGACACTTCCATCAATGCTCAAACATCTAGGAGATGGTTATGTTGGTTGGTGATGATGACAATTCGTACAAGGGATCCTCTTGATATAGCGTTATAGATAAATTATGACCTGTGTTTGTTTTTTCCATCAGTATATGCATTCCTCTTTTTTGATGTATGAACCAACGTAACTCTATGCAATTTATAGATTGCTTTGAAACGGGAAAAGATGGGTGAGACAGCTCCTTTTTGGAGATTTTCTGCTACTTCTTATCCAGATCTTGAAACAGCAGCTCCTGCTGGTGCTCTTTTAAGGAATCCTAGCAGGCCACTTAACGGCAACTCCAGCACCTCCTCGAGGGTAATTACTTTTCCTCTTCAACTAGTAGGCTTACATATTATTTTCCTCCTCTTCATGCATGTCTAGTACAGTGTTTTCTCTAGTAGACGAATTGCCATGTAGGATCACTCGCAGATTCTGGACATGCTTATCAATTAACCGATCCCTGACACATTCCGTGATTGTTTTCTATTTGGATAAGGGAAATAGGGTTTGAGCTTTGAACTGCAGACAAATATTTGCTAATTTAAGTAAAGAAATTGAAAGCAGAAAATTGAGTTGGTGAAGAAGTAAACAAACTAAAACACACAGGCTTTTGATTTGAATCTTGAATTAATTGAACTAAATTGGAGATTGATTCAAATAATCCAAAGAATTATCCTTAGTGATCATGGTATTGTGAATAATGCATAGAGTTGTTAAATTTTGGTTTTACATGATAAAAGGAGAGGATGCTAGCTGACTAAAATAATATATATATATATCGTTTTGATACTAATCCTTCTGTTGCATTTCCCCAGATCTGCAAAATTATGGTACAGTTTTGCTTCTCTGTTTCTGGATAATATGTTTGGGCTCTTCTTTAGTTACAGGCACATTGCGTAGGCAAAGCAGTGGGGAAGAAGTTGGATCAAGGTATGGCGTGTATGTAGAAAAAGATGCAAATGTGGTCATTACCTGTTTGGTTGTTTAATATTCCTTCTATTTTGTCTTCTGCTTTCATTTGCAGGGGAACAGAATGTTCTTCCAATCCTTCAAAGCTTCATCGAAATGCTTCTGCCGCAGCTAATATGAATAACCTTAATATGAATAACCTTGTTTCACAATCCTCTTCCGCAAATCCAGGTTCTTTTGGAGTATTTTATTTTCAAAGAGTATATGATTTATAGTAGTCCTATTTCATGCCCATATAAACCAGTGGGATCCATGGCTGTTATGGTAAGGAATTTATAGAATTTTTCAGTTCTCTGCAATGTGGAAGTAAACTGCAGTCCTCGAATTTTTCGGTTCTCTGTTTATTAATTTCATACCAATTTTCATTTTCACTATAATTTAATTTGCAGGTGATGTTCAGCACTGATGGTTATGCATTTCCAGAGACTTTTTACTTAGGTTAGTTTAATTAGTTATCTATCAATTTTATACTTTATTTTGTGATAATATCTTCAAAATCTTGGAGGAGCCAGTTCTGATTGCAGATTGAAATTAATATGAATACAAAATAGAGCCTATTTCTCTTGTTAATTGACTTGATAATATATTTCTAACATCATTAAAAATTATTAATTGACTTGATAATTTATTAATAAAAACTATAATTTATTATGAAATTAAAAATCTCAAAGATGAAATGTAATTTTTAAAATTATAAAAAAAGATTCGTATTTTAATCAAATCTCAAATTCTATGCGTAATTTACCCTATAAAATAGAAAAAGGAGGATCTAACTGGGAGAGAGGACAAGACGGTTCTGGATGAAATTAGACTGGTTGGAAGGTAGTAGTGGGTTGGCATTGTCATCCCTCTCCAATTTTTCCCTTCTCTATTTTATTCTCTTCTCTTCTATTTCATTCATTCTTCATAGCAATCTTTTATTTCATTTCATTTTCTTTTTAGAAAACACAACACACACACACTCACTGTCTACTCTCTATCTAGTTTCTTGGAAACACAGTCTCACAATCTCTGTACACAAACTTCTCAGTTTCTTTTCTTTGATTCTGACGAACCCACAAGAACAGGATTGACATAGTTGCTGGAGCTGAAGTTTGAAGACGATGGTGACGGTGATGGTGATGATGATGATGATGATGATGATGAGTAGTCTTTTTTGAGAGATGTTCTCAAAGAGTTCACTGAACTTTTGAGTGAGTGTTTGACTAATGTTTGAAGGGTTGTTGGGGTTTTCATAAATGGTTGTTGGGTTCTACATCTTTCTTGGGTAGTTTTTTGAATGCTTATTTTATTTTATTTTTAGTTTTGTCTGTGCACTGAATATTCCGTAAAGCCAACTCGCCTCTTCGTTCTCATATATTTATGTTGTATGTTCTCTTCAATTATATCATTCAGCAATAGTTTTTAATGGTTTCAGCAACAGTTTTTAACGGTCTCTCTCTCTGTCTCAAAGTCTCCTCATTTTAGGTAGTCGGATTTTCCTACTTACACTGACCTTTCTGGTTCTCAAAAGGTAAGCAATTTTTTCTTTTTTAAGATCTCCCAATTTTCCTCTGTTTTTAGTTTTCTTTTTTGTTTTTTTATTTTTGTGGATGTTGATTGGTTTTCTTAGTTCCTTCTTAGTGGGAAATTCTTTAGCTATTAATGGTAATCAGTGAGTATGTGCTCTTAGTGTCATTGAATTCCCATTTTAGTTGTTTCTGTACTATGATCAAAGTTTAATCATTTTACACACTAGACTTGATGATGCAAACTCATGAACTTTAATCTCTGCAGTGATTTGGGTTGCTGATAAGAGTATCGGATCTGGGTTAGAGTTGGAAGAGTGGTTGATTTGTTATCTTAGTTGGAAAATTCATCGAAAAGATGAAGAGCGCTGCGTTTGTGGCTATTGCTGCTGCAATTGGTAACTTCTTGCAAGGTTGGGATAATGCCACTATTGCAGGTACTTGTCATTTTAATAATCTAATTCTTCATTTTTGAATTCACTCATGGAAATGATGTAGATTTAGTATTTGCCTGAGTTGATTGATATCCTTGTTCCCGAATTCCCTATTTAATGGATCTAATGAAATGGAAATCAAATTAGTAGGATTTTTGTGCAGTCAAATTTGATTTGTGGATTCAACTATAGATGCTTAATTTTCTATGATCTTTTCTTTGTTTCTTAGTTTGCTTCCCCTCCTTGGAAAGACAGGAGGGAA